TGTAGTACAGTACCAGTTGGACCACGGTTCATCAGATCATCCTCTCTGGGCCGTTAAAAAAATATGTTAGGGTTTTTTTTTTAATTTTTTAATAGAAAATCAGTTCTCTCTTTTTTTTTTTGCGCCAATATTTGGTAAGTTAAATGATGGATTATATAATGAAATGTAACTTTCTCTTTTTTAAATTCTTTTTCATAAATTTTAAAATTTAAATTTAAAATCTATAATATAAAATTTTAAATTATTAACTATTTAACATCGCTTCAAAGACTTTTTGCCAATATCCATTCTAATTCAAACCATCCATTCTTGTTCGGATTTAAAATACTCAAATATATTCCATACCAAATTCAAGAACAGCAGTTCATCATTTACTTTGTTTGATGACAACTATTGAGGTCCAGTAGTCATTTAATTCATATTTTAATTCTCCTTCTTGTTATCAACAACCTTACTACCTGAAGGTAGCATTCTTCTATTTTTTAAAAAATCCCTAAGTGGCTTCGCACATGTAGAATCTGGATGCAGGCGTGTTAATTACTTTTTTGAAAAGCAAGAAAAGCAAGATTTTCCCAATGATCGTCTCCTTCCACACAGTTGACCTCCGTTGAGATGGTTGGAAGAATGTCGGTTTAAGATTGAGTTTTGCACCCTTTAGACGATTTACAAGAGGGAGGGATGCCTTCTTGCATAATAGGTTGCTAATTTGCCTTAGACAATCTCAAGAATTTTACCACTACCATAAATTTAAGTTAATAGATCCAAAAGAAACTGAATGAGATGCAAATAAAAATAAACTTAATGTTTATTGCACAAAAGCAAATCAAAGAAGCAATTACATAAACTAATTTGGATACTTGAATGTTAAAAACAACTTAAATCTATTGGGATCTATATATGAAAGCTAAGGTGAGCAATTCCTATAAAACTAGAGAATTGACAATTTGATGAGTTTTGTGTAAGTTGGCTCGCTCCAAGTAATATAATGATGAATAGAGTGTCGAATCCAAGAAGATTGTGTCTAATTAAATACCAAAATAATTAATCTAAATTTATTTGAAGTATCAAAAAGAAGAAAGTTTAACTAAAAAACAATAAAAGGAAAATAACAATTAAATTAAACCTAACCAAGATATGAGGTACTAAGGCATTGATTTCACTATAATCAATCAATATAAATTCTGAATTAATATGCTAATTTATTGAGTGTTATTGCATGTCATGGCGGATTTCCCTAAATTAATTAACTAACTTTCTCAAGTCAAGTTAATTGTAATTTTAAACAAACTAATGAGTATTAAATTCTATGGAAACCTCTAGCTTAAGAAGAGGAGCTTCTAATTCTCTTCTCTTCCTCTACTACCACATGTGAGCGAATTACCTTTCAGTCTCATAGTCTAGCACACGATTTATATTATCATTGGTCTAATTTACATAATTCTTTCTCAAGTTCATGCATAAATGATTAAATCAATCAAAAGGTGATCAGGCTTTCAATGCATTAAGTTCAATAATATAAACTCCTCATGTAAACAACTTTAATTGAAAGCATAAAATCACAAAATTCATATTGAATTGATTAGGTTATATCGTAACTCTAGTAAAATAAATCAGTTCATAATAAAAATAAGAAAATCTAAAATCATAGTTATGAACATAAGAATAACAAGGAAGAATAAAACCCAATTTGAGAAAATTGTAATCCTTGATATTTTATTGTTGAATCCTCTCTTTTGATCTTCAAGAATGCCCAGAAGAAGGCTGCTACCAGTCTCCACCAAGCTCACTCAATTCTGAATTTGGATGGGTATTTATAAAATTTTAGAAACCCTAATTGAAATAGAAGTAGGACTTGGAACATCAATAGGAAACTTGAATTTTGGATGCTGAACACATGGTGCTGATACCTCGAATTACGTGTTGACACAAAACAGGAAACAAAAAGTGTGATTTTGGACTATTCACGCATGTTGTCGACATGCAGATTATGTGTCGACACAACACTCGTGTCGAGTTTATGGACTCCTTTTGCAATTTCTTCAATGGTAAAATAACAGATCTGGTCCTCCATCTTTTTTATGATGAGTAATTAGATCTCAAAACTCAAGATTCATTCATTAAGGTCCCAAAGAAGCTCGGTTCTTCTTGCAATTCAGTCCCTCAACTTTGAGAAGATATTCAATTAATCTCAAAAACTCCTATTATTATGCATTCAAGTCCTTTTCTGCACAAAAAATGAGAACCATGTAAAATCTCATAAAACTCAGTAAAATCTCATAAAATTCATCCAAATATCAATAAGATCAAGGCAACAATTCCACATTAATATGTATACAAATTCAACTCATCAAATTCCCCCGAACTTAAGTTTTACTTATCCTCGAGTAAAATTAAAAAAACAAATAAATAAAAAGAAAATAAAGCCTAACTCACTTTCGTAGGAATCACGATTGCACTTAGCATATGTAGCAAGCCTTTAAACCCCTAGGTTACCCTAGTGGACGAGTCATGTCTCGTGAGGGTTTTCAGTAGATCTACCCACAGAATCCCAATGCAAGAATGTAATTACATGATATGCATACAAAGAAAATTTAGGAATTAAAGTTCAATTAGATACAAAGTCTCAAATATTCAAGAGTTTTCATATACTCACTTAAAGTCAAATACTCATCCTATTCTTCACACCACTTGTTAAAAGATTTAGCTCATGAGCACTTAGAGTGTGTGTGGAAATTCATAGTAAGAAGTCTCAAA